TTCTGGTAGAGAGGCAGAGCAGTGCAGCTACGTTAACGAGGTTGGCAAGGATGTGACTAGGCCAAAGCGGAAAATTATGGGAGAAACCATGGTACACCATTGTGCCCTTCACCGCATCATTTCATCATGAATCAACATTTCGTGAAGCCAGACTATTACATCACTATTATATCTACACTGTCGTTCCTTCACTGCCTAACACCGTATAGCCTCCGATTCGGATGAGAAGTACGCAAAAAAATTGGTGATCCCATGAATCCCTCATCCTATTAAAGGCAAACCTGGGTTAAAACTGGTGATAAGAGCGCTTTGTAGTGATTACTAAGCTGCGATACGACTTGAAATCGAAAGGATAAAGGATAAAGCATTTGCCGTTGATCAATCCCTTTTTGGGATGCGGCACGCATTCTACTTCCATTTGTACATTCGTAGTGGCGTTTGAATGCGATGTGGCCTATACAATGACTTGCGGGGGCCAGCCGATGTACAAGTCAATCCTCCCAGACAAGTCTGGTACCAATTAACCGACCCCGGAGGGATGGAAGGCTTGGTTGGCCCGGGCGACTCACGACCCAGGATTTGATCCCGGACCGGTCGCGTGGTAAGCACGCCACTTGCCACTACACCACTTCCGCCCTTACAAGTCGAAAGGGAAGCAGGAGGAATCTTGGCTAGGCTGAAATTAAGGTCTTAGCTGAGGTCGGATGTGGTACGATGGCGAGGCAGGGCGATCAAAGAAGACAAAACACGCGAGAAACGTCCGAGAGAGCACGCTGATCTCACATCAGTCGAGGTGGGTGGTGAAGCGTTGCAGGGGGTCGATGGTTGCAAGCCTCTTAGCGCCCTAATCACGCAATTGCCGCAACGAACCTGAAGTGATCTAGGTAGGTGTGACCTAGCATTTCCCTGACTGTATTATAACTTCAGTCCGGTACCATTCGTACCTAGTAAGTAGCTGCCCTCACCCCCCACCCCCTAGACTGCCTTCACACCCCCTGGCTCACGGGGTCCCGTACATCGAGAAACCTGTGCGCCAGGGGGAGTGTAGGCAGTCTAGGGGGTGGGGGTGAGGGCAGCTACTTACTAGGTACGAATGGTACCGGACTGAAGTTATAATACAGTTTTCCCTGGCGGTAGACCGTCAACAGCCGGACTGTACAGGGAGCTTCCGCTCAGATTGCTCTGATTATTACCCGACCCTTTCGAACATGACTTTTCTTGGTTACGTAATTTCGCAACAGAATATGCTGCATTATGTTGCCATATATTTGATTGCCAAGTATCGAGGAGATGTGAACGACCGCACCCGTCAAGTCAGCACAGACCTCGACATCGCTCACTAGGCGAAGACAATTCAAAGATTCCCATTGGTTTTATATGATCGAAATGTAGCTGTACCCACAAGCATCGTGGTAAGAGCGAGGGCTACCGTGTGGTGCGTGGTCGGCGGATCAGCTAAATCTAGTTCAGCGCTTAGACCGACGTCATAGTCGGCGACGGACCAAGCGATGGAGCGATCGATCGCTCCATCGCTTGTCCGTCGCTTGCCAATCGCTCTCGGTCGAGCGATTGGCAAGCGATTGCGCAATCGCTTGCAATGTGCACAAGCGACGGGCGATTGGCCCCGCCCCCAGTCAATGCAGTCGGCTGCGGTATCGATCGAGCAGAGCCATTGCCCGTCGCTTGTGCACTTTGCAAGCGATTGCGCAATCGCTTGCCAATCGCTCGACCGAGAGCGATTGGCAAGCGACGGACAAGCGATGGAGCGATCGCGATCGCTCCATCGCTTGGTCCGTCGCCGACTATGACGTCGGTCTTACAACCAACTTCCCCACTCTTGAGGCTGCTAGGCGGAGAAACAGTACGTAATAACTTCAACCATTCATTTTTTTTCGCGAAAATCTTCACTTCCATTAGATCACACAATCTAATCAGGGTGTACCCCTGGGTGGGACTGTTCGCTGTTTTGTGCACTAGGGTATTTGCCAACAGCTGTGAAGGAAAATTGTGCCGGAACTATAGAAGCAATCGGCAATGGTTGTCTTTTTTGTGATGCGCCACGCTTTCATTGTGCCACTGTACTTCCGCAGTAGCATTTGGGCGCCTGTCCAAAAAAAGGTTAGCCGCTGTACAGTCGTCGCATCAGCTAGCAAAAACACGATCCGGCAACAAATTAGTCGTTCCGGAAAGGGATGCCAGCAGTGGCCTAGATGCGTCGAATCCAGGATTTGGTTTCGAGAGTGTCCGCGTTTAAAAAAAACAAAAAAAACTGGGTGCCGCCATTTAGTTCCAGGGGCTAGACGCTAACAAGCCTAATTCTCACAATAATCACAAGCTGTACAAAGGTGCCACTGTGTAACCTTACTAGCCACAAAAAGCGTAATTGCTTTTTCCTTCTCTGCATGCTCCAGTTTCGATTATACTCGCATAGATCTGACCCCTAAATTCAAGCTCAGAAACACCGCTGCTCACCTGGAGTTTGCCAAGAATAAAAAGGGCTCTGTATGCTGTGCAGTATGGAATCCCAATACAAGCACCTTCTTCGAAGGATAGATCTGAAGAGCTAATTTCGATTTGATTTTTTTTTCAAAAATACCCACAGCAATGTTGTAAATTCCACTCTGATTATAATGAATTCACTCATTAAATGAATTCACTCATTACCAGGCGGCAACGGGAATACCCTATCTGCGAGGCAATATTCGGCCGCACTGCCAGTGAGGGAAAATGCGAAGTAGACGCGATCGCCCTTTTTAACATCACGAACATCAGCACCAACCTAAATGAATAAACTTCTAACCAAAATAATGAAGGATAAACATAAAGCATGAGCAATCTTTTTAGGATGCGCCACGCATTCTATATTCCACTCTGAATTCGCAGCGATATTTCAAATGTGACTGGGCTATACAATAACTTGCTGGGGACGGCCTTCACAGAAATCGGTGTTTTATCCTCCAAGACAACTCCAGTAGTATTGGAACAGTTGTCCTGAACAACTAGGACCCAGGATTAGGTCGTAGGATCACGTGCCTGGTAAGCGTCGCCACTTGCCGCTACACCATTTTTCCACCCGTTCAACAAAAAAAAACAATACAAGATTGCCATAAGAAAGAACGTGCTTGCAACGTACATGCATATGTTACAAATAAGCGCTATAGTGAAGAAACTACAACACTTAAAGGGTCTATTCCAGATAGAGGCATCTGATGCAGTTTCTCGGTGCGACTAGAGTTAAACTCGACATTCCAGCTATTCACACGTGACCGCCTTCACCCCCACCCCGTAGACTGGTTACACTCCCCCTGGCTAAGAGTTACCCTAGCATTCTAGAAAAACTGCTCCCTAACTGGAATAGAACTTAACATTATTGACACAGCCCTTTTCTTTTTTTTTTTTTTTTTTTTTTTTTTTTTTTTTTTTTTTTTTTTTTTTTTTTTTTTTTTTTTTTTTTTTTTTTTTTTTTTTTTTTTTTTTTTTTTTTTTTTTTTTTTTTTTTTTTTTTTTTTTTTTTTTTTTCACAATCGTCATAACTTCTTCAATAATTCCACTACTGGTAAATTGACTCACAGTTTTTCGGATAAGATGACGCATGCACACAGTTTTGAAATATGAAAAAGGCCAAATAAACCATAAAAAAAGACAGATAAATAAAGGCCGGGAACGAGTGTTACCGTAACCCGTGGCCGCCGCTTTAACGAATTAGAGAATTGGAACGCGGAAGTGCGCCAGAAAAAACTAAGAACAAGAGGCACGCGAGAGGCCGGACGCATAGTCGGTCGGACGACAGCAACGATCGCAAGTGTCGCACAGCATTGGGTGCGTATCGATCTGCGACACATGCGACACTTACGACCGCTGCTGTCGGACGACAGCAACGATCGTAAGTGTCGCAGATCAATACGCAGCTACTATTTCCACACCGCAGTCACGTGTTGTCTGCTTAGCATTGGGTGACCGCGTCGCCTTCTATTTGCAACCGCGGTTTGTGCGACACTTGCGGTCGTTGCTGTCGGACGACCGACTATGCGTGTGGCCAATGCCACATGGCATCGATTTGTTGCCGCGGATTACTGTAACAGCCGTTCCTGCGGCCTCTGTTATCCGTCTAATAAACCATAAAAAAATGTCCAGAATCCGGGTTAAACCTCTGACGCGCCAGCCACGTCAGAGTCGATCAACGTTGTTTAAACTTAAATTTTAGAAAACAACGAACTCAGAAATTTACTTCATATTCGAGTGCTAAAAACCGTATCATAAGCAAAAGTGCTAACCTTCGCTACAACACCTGCGCCGTCCTTCCCAGGACTGTACGGTAGGTTTGGCTTGGCAGCATACTGTCCATTTCGAATGTAAGTATCCACAGGATTGACACCGGACGCCGCGACACGAACGAGAGATCTGAAATAATACAGAGAATAGTTCAAAAAAAAAGAATTGGGTCGTTCACTAGTTTGAATAGATAATCGTCACAAGGCTCAAATCACAATTTTCAAGATTTTCACTATTTTTTTTATTTTTCATTGATTTTCACGTGGTGTGAAAATCTTTGGAAAGTGCGTGGTATGAAATACGGTAGGCAGCGAAAGGATGAACATGCAGAAACTCAATTTCAAAGTGCAGAGAAATAACCAAATGGCTTCCTACCTGGTCGCTGGATTCTATCTTAGGTATTGGTACATTGGACAATACTTTGATCACGTTGGGACCACCGAACTCCTTTACGACAGCAGCAAGCATCGAACTTCAGTTGACTTGTCAACAATTCTTTCGCGTAGCTCGTGCTAACGACGGTGTCCTTAAGCATTGGAAGATTCAAACAGATTCTGTAAAGAAAATTAAGTCGCAAGGGAGGGCAGTTTGGGGGGGGGGGCATTGTGACGCAACAGTCGTCCCGGGCCGTGAACTTGGGCCGAGATAAGGAACCACAGCGTGTGGACAAAGGGCTATATCGCCGCGGAAGGTGAAGTAGTAGGAAACTCAAACGCTCCCAATACTCAGAGAATGCATCTTGCTCAACAAGAATGATTTCATGGGAGCCAGAATACCCATAACCCAGGATGACGAAAATCTTGACTTCGAACTTTGAAACATCCAGTGAAAAAAGTCCCACTGGAACATACGGTTACATTGTGAGTGAATGAGAAGCTGGACAAGTAAGTTTGAGCAGGAACAGCCAATCCAAAAGCATTCTTCCGCCAGTTAAAGAATGATTACAACGCGAACCAACGATCAGTCTAAAACGGCTGCGCACCAACCAGTTTTGGAGACAGTCAAAAGTTTCGGCGCTCTAGAGATAATCGAAGGAAACACGCGTCGAGCCGCTCGCAGCTGACGACAATCGGAGACTCGCATGAATCAATTGCTTCCCTTTTTCACAAGGTTTCAGGATCTTGGAGCACATTGGTTCCTCTGCATATTTCGGTTCATCTAATCATAATTTTCATCTTTTCTAATGTAATTGTTCTTTGTGTTCCGCTCTCGAATCACATCTGAGCTGTATGTGTTGTCAAAAAACGCTTTGCAGGGTATACATTGAATCACTGCTTCGACATCATGGGTGAGTTTAAACTTTTGGCTTTCTGTTTTTAAGAAAGGAAATAGTGTAGCAGTTCATACGAGCTGTGGGCTGCTATTTGAAATTCCGCTGTCAGACAAGTGTCCAACTTCTTCCTCCTCTAGCTGATAGTTCTTCCCAAGGCTAAGCGTGAATCAATTCCAGTTGACGTGCCGAGAAATTTTCGTCTTTTGGAAGAGCTGGAAGACGGCCAGAAAGGAAAGGGTGATGGAAATATCTCATGGGGTTTGGAAGATGACACCGATATGACTCTCACTAGGTGGACGGGTACCATTATAGGGCCACCAAGGGTACGTTAATCTGTTCGTATATTTAAATGGATACTTTTCGATGAAGGTTGACTTATTTTCCAGACACCATATGAGTCTCGTATTTACAATTTGCATGTGGAATGTGGACCCAATTATCCAAAAGAAGCTCCAAGTGTCCGTTTCACCACAAAGATTCATATGAATGGAGTAAACCAGACAACTGGAGTGGTGATCAATCAATCCCTTCTTCATGAACAGTCTTGAGTGTACTTTAAGAGAAACCTTTGATGTTCATGTAACTTCAGATCGACAAGAAAAATCTTAGTACTCTACGCTCATGGAATGGGAGCTTTATGATCAAGTCTGTCTTGGAGGATATCCGAAGGAACATGATGTGTGCGAAGGAGAATATGAAGTTGCCCCAGCCCGCTGAGGGTGCCACATTCTAAATAAAGATCGAGGTATTCATTTGCAGCATTTTTTGCGATCTGGAATTTAGGGAGTAATTATGCAATATTTAGTGGCTCTTGAAGTAGGAATTTTTTGTTCCGAATGGTAAACTTTTTCAGAGCTGGAGCAATGCGCTTATACATTAAAGTTGAAAATTATAAGGTGAATAACATCAACTTTAGGTACAGTTTTTAGTGAGGTGAAGGTAGTATTTAGTGTCGAGTAGTCTATCAGGGCTTCATTTCTGAAATGAATAAGAGTATAAAACGGTGTGGGCCTTGTGGGACTTCTCATTGATACTATGTGAGAAGTAGCGATTCTTCTACTATCTAACCTTCTTTTTATATATGAAATTTGTGGCTCAGTGATCGCAGTTGTGAAGCTGGCCTGACAACTTTGCGTTTTATTCAGGGAATAGGTTCTGTTTTTGAGTGCTAGCACGTTGTTTTAATCGTATGACATGTTCTCAAGTAACTTCGAGCGGCGATTAAGCAGGTTACCTGAAGTAATTCCGTAATTCAATTTTTGTCTTGCGTCCGAATTTGGAACGTTCTGTCTTATTCAAACATGTCTACCCCCCCCCCCTTAAAACCGAAAGAATTGTCTCCAGTTTCCATATTCATCAGTTGGGTGGCCTTTGTGGATGATTTCACACTAATATAAAAACTGCGAAAAATTCAGTGGGAACCCTAGAGCGAAGTAAATCTCCACTTTGCGCGCTTTATCAGTGGAAATTTGAAGTAAATTGTGAGGTCAAACGGGCATCCCGGTTATCAGTGAAAACTAGTCTTTGATTTTGTGGAAACCATGGCTGGGTTCATAAAAGTATTGGTATGTGTTCATAGGCTCATTGCTGTTCATTATCGCCATTTCTGTATTCATTGCTGCATTCCGCCCTTGATTGCATCTTGTATAGTGCGACTCTAGAACCCGCGCTCTTCGAAATGATAACAAAATCGATCTTGTAGAAGAACAAAAGGATAGTTTGCATAAATAATGATTGAAATAATGATCAGATGGATGAAGATAGTTCTTGAGAGGACATAAGTTGTTTCTCTGTGTCCACCATTCAAATGATTTGTGTTGTTTTGTTGTTCGTTTCAGTTGGTAGAAGTTATTCTATGAGTTATGTGAAGGATTTAGAGGAATAGCCCATGCCCTCCGAGTGACTGAACAGTCATCTGATTTCCAAATTCTTGAGAACTATCTCTCAAATAAAATCAATATCTAAATTTGTAAAGACCATAATTTTTCCATCGCAGTTTTAGTTTTTTTTTTGAGGTTTTAAATCTTTTTTATTCCAAGCGCACTATCTCTTGCACACCTACCGTTGCAAAAGCCATGCATTATAAAGTTATTCTGTGATTCGTACTTTGCCATGATTCTGTGAAGCAAGCAAGTGAAAGAACCAAGCTTCAATATTTCACTTTGTCATTTGTGCGATCCAAAATTTTATTCTGTTTCTTGGGTCCCATCTTATTCCTGCTCCAGATTCGAACATCAGATTTGCTCGTTTCAGGCTCGGAGTGTTGTTTTGCTGGTTGTACCTGCCGTCAAGTCGAACGTCTTCAAAAATTCGAAACCATCTAAATTATTGAATTCCTTCGGCATAAGTCGAAATTTTTGTTTTGCATTCTTTCACTCGTATTTGTCGAGGGTTCCATCCGTCCGTGAATTCCTCTGCAATTTGTACAATTTTATGATTGAGTAGGGGCTATCATGCCTTCTCCGTTTGTCGAAATCGCCGTGTCTTTGTTTAATCCCGATTTGAAATTAGGCTGAGCTGTTGGCAATCGTCTAGTTCAATGTTTGTTCGTTTAGCTTTTCTTCCCGATGATAGCTTGACATGCTCGCTCTAGTTCCACACCATTCAGTCTAATCGTTACTTGTACCGGTGTGTAATTCGAGGCTGTCTGTTTGCTAGCTCTAGACGACCGTTTAATAAAATCATACTTATCCATTGGTTTTTTTTTCTTGAACTTGATGCGCTATGGACGCAGCATATTTCTTTGTTCCATGCCGTCCTTGAAAAGCTATTATATGGGAAGAAATTCTCAGCTACATGTTCAGGTCAATGGTGAAATGAGCGTAGCAGTACCCACTGAGCTGCACAGCAGCAGAAGGGAGTCGGATGAACGCACAAAACTTGGTAGGAAACCTGTTACTCTTGTGAGGATAGGTAGTGGTTCATGCGGTAGTTCCGGAATTTTCAGAGCTACTGGTGCTTATTGAGCGCTATTTGTCTTCGAGCCCCTGCAAAAAAGCAGCTGCTGTTCTCCGGCGTGAAATAGAAGAAAATAGAGTACGAAGCGCTTTGTGTCAACTTTTTGCTGCTGCTTTACTAGAATCAATAGTTCTCTTGCAGCTTTTGCCGTTTCGCTATGACTATCGTGGAAATACTCATCCAAGGACCTACAGGGAAATTGTAAGTTCCCTGTAACTTGATTTTCTTTATTTTCTGCGAGGTTGTCATTGGCGTAGGGCTTGCGTTCCCATTAATTCTCGCCGTCATTCTTTACATATTTGTGCTGATTCATGGACTATCGTCGGTTAGCGTCATCGTAGAGTCGACGAGTTCACATGAAGAAGTAGATAAGTAGTGGTCGGGAAGAAGGGAGAGCGCGGATTATCCTACAAGCACAATTTAAGTCAGGATCGATAGCCTTTTCCTGGACTTCGACGTGCAGACTGAGCAGTATCCCCAAAGATGCTGGTCTGATTTTGTATTTCCTAAAATTTTTTGGCTACTTCGTTTTTCTCAGTTCGATTTTTGGACCTTGCGCGAATTTTTGATCGTTGTCTTTGCACTCATAAATTTGGACGAAGTTCCCATTGTACTTGCCGTTGATATTCACTATCCCTATACAGGAAGCTTGTTGAATATCGTAGGGATACGTGCGGAGAATATGGAATGATTTCTTTTATGTAGACGTAAAAATAAAAACAAAGGATAAAGTGCACTAATAAGAATAGAAAATGAAACAGCAAAACAAGTTTTTTTGAGAAATTAATTCTTTGTAGACAATATAATTGTGTTGCGCTCGATTTATAGCGTTGACTGTTCATATTCATGTTCATATCAGGAGAAAAGTTTTCATTGCCAGGCTTTTATGGCGACGATATTTGTGAATTGAGTAAGCTCCATTTTGGGCTTTGCACATGTGCTAGCACTTTTTTCCCAAGAACTGTTTTAGTATCACTATGGTGACGCAGTAAAAACCAACCTTATTTTACATATATTAAGTACCATTACCGTAAGGGATAGTTCATAATAATCTGTTCACAGCCTAACGGATTTTGTAGGTAAAAATTACTATAATCCCGGACATCTTACTTCCTCGATAAGCCGATATTGAACGCGAAACATTATAAAGGAAAAACCCATCGAAAAATTTGTCATTCTCAACGCCATACTCCTTCGTTTTTTTCACTTTTGTCATTATTTTTGGACCTAGGCATAGCTCCTTAATTTTTCTATGATGGAACTGATGTAAATGTTGGTATTTTGAAGGTTTCCGAACTTGCCCCCTCTGCTCCATCACTGTTGCACTTGATCGAACGCCTTTCTATATTAGCCGACTCAGCAGTGCCACCATCTGTTAGTGGTCTTCCTATTCGCCTGATCAATAACAAACGAAACTGCCTTTTAAGAACTCCAGGTAATTTTTCCAAATGCCATTCAGTGTTGTGGTTGTTGTCGCTTGAATCTAACATGACGCTATCATCATAGAATCTGCCGCAAAAAAAGATTTTTCGTCACGAATGCTAGCTTGCCAACCCGTGCCAAATTACATTATTAATTCTGTAAGGTCAGTTTGAATTCCTTTCTGCATTTAGTTGTCTCTTTTGTTATCGCCTTCTTAATCGAAAACTTCTTAAAGCCTTTGTTTATAGACTTTCAACATGTCGTGAATTTGGAACACGCATAAGCAGAGCTCGTCTTCCTGGTATCGGATCTTTAGATCAGATGGATCGGCACTATCGTGTTTTAGGACATCTTTCGATGGTGTATTGTGTGACCTTTGATCGCACGGGCAATTATGTATTGACGGTTTGTCTTTGCTTGTTTATTTGTTTTATTCAGTTGAAAAGTACAGTGACTACTACGTTTTAATACTCCCTGTTTAGGACGAAAGTCGCATAGTGGTTTCGCAGAACTGTCTGTAAACGAATGAGCAATTCATAAAGTCCTAGCTAGTAACATGGGCAGTTGTCGAAAAAGTGCTAGTCTTCGGGGTGTTTTCTTTCTATGTTGTATCGTTCACATCGCTTATCGTTTTCACCATTTCTTTTTTCCCTTTTATTTCATACTTTCGATTTACAGGGCGCAGACGACAACCTCATTAAAGTTTGGGATGTACATCAAGGTCTTTTACGCTTTACTTATCGTGGACATTCTGCTGAAGTTGCTGATGTTAGTGTCTCGTATTGTAATCAAATGATCGCATCCGGAAGTGTAGACAAGTCAATAAGGTTGGTTGCTGTTGTAGTGGTATTCATCGATTTCCTCTTCGTTTTTAGTTAGTGATATGGTCTATCATTTAGAGTATGGTCTTTGGCAACAGGTGAAACTTTACAAGTTTTCCATCTTCATACCGCCGTTGTTGCACGAGTGAAGTTTTTGCCATTTGTGGATCAACGCAAAAGATATCTTGTCTCTTGCGCGCTTGATTGCAAAGTTGTATTCTACCCTTTCGATGAAAACACGAAGGATTTTGATCCCAAGTGAGTGGTTTCTCTTTAAGTATGAAATGTCATACATATAGCTTCACCGGTTAGAAAAAGTAGGGTATTTCTCAATTTTGGTGTTGCTTCCGCATTGAGTAATATTCTAACAATTCCTTCGCATATTCCTTTGACAAAATAAGCCATTTATGTCATCCATTCTCAGCACATTATAACAATATAATATTTGACGCGTTTCTGCTATCTGCAAATGGTTTTTAAGAGAGGTATTCGTCTGGTTTACCTTATCCTTACCACTGGTTCAGGAATTTCGATCTTGATCGAGAGCGTCATTCCAAACTCGCTCAGGCTGAATAGATTGTTTTTGTTCATTTCTTCTCTTTGTGATATTCTTAGATACTGCGTCTGCAAAGAATCTCTTCCTCCTCCTCCCCCCCCCCCCGCACCTGCACGTTCATCCATAGTGTGTTTGTGTTTTCAGTGGTGTCGTTGTATTCGATGAACGAGAAGTGTTTGGTGCGAGAATAATTTCGCTATGCCATAGCCCTAGTGGGCAGTGGGTTGTCGTTGGTGATACTCATTGTTACCTACGGCTGTTTCGAGTGTCACGTGGACCGGATGGAGGTGTCTCGAAGTTCACAGATATATGTGCACACAATGTGAGTTTCCTTATTCTGTTTTGTGCTAGGTGTTGTTGACGTCATGACTAAGTTGGCTAAAGCAGCACCCACCAGGAAGTAATGTATACGTGATTTTCCAGGATCGTGTGGATAGTCTAGAATGGGCTCATTCGGGATGTAGGTTCGCTTCCGGAAGTCGTGACGGTGTGGCAAAAGTGTGGAGTTTTTCGTGCTGGGAAATGCGTCCTACTTTCTAATAGTTACCTGGTATGAAATCGTTGCGCTGCTCTTCCTTACTGTTTAATTCAGTAAAACTTGCTTAGTTTAGTGTTCGAACTACGGATCTGCAATCCAGTACGCTTGCGTCGCACGTGACGACCTAAAGTAAATATAGAGTGGGTACTTTCATCGTTTTATCCACCAACTCTTAAAAGTCTATCTGGTTCTAAAAACCCATGAACGAGTTCGCTTGGCAGAGTTGTTGTTTAACTAACCAAATTTGTTTCGCTTAGTTGTATAAGTTTAGTAGAGTTGGTTTGGTATAGCGATTCCACATTTTGTTATTTAGAATGAACACCTTAATAGAGAAAAATTGCAGTGCAAAAGAAAAGGTGGGACGACAAAAAAGTGCGAGTTTACGCAAAAATCAAGGCGAACTTATCTGTGGGATTTTGAGTAGTCAGATTTCGGAGTTTTATTGACCATCACTTTTCTTCTTATTCTTGATACACCTTTTTTTAGGTCACAATGCTTTGCTGGTCACTCGATGATGGAATGATAGTCACGGCTGGCTCCGATTATATTTGTGGGTCTTGCATTGTTTGGTCCGATTTAAATAGCAAATTCGACTGCTTTCAGTACGATCTGGAGTAGTTCTGGTGGAATGCTGCGGTGTCTTAGTGGTCATACGGATGATACTTTTGTGTTGAAAGCGAATCCTGCCTTTCGAACGTCAGTGCTAACGTTGTGGTCATGGTGGTGTGTGGGGGGGGGGGGGGGGGGGGGGGGGGGGGGGGGGGGGGGGGGGGGGGGGGGGGGGGGGGGGGGGGGGGGGGGGGGGGGGGGGGTATCGTCTTCTTATTATCCGCAATATATCAAATTGAGTTTCCGATCGGTGATCCGTTTACAGTTTTGGGATCTTCTTGTTGGAGAAAAAGTGAAGAAGTTCACAAATGCTGTTGAGCACCGAGGACACTCTGCCCTTTTCGACCTCGATATATCCCGCGATGGATGCACTGTTGCTGCCGTCGGATTCCCTAGGGACATCTCACTATTTATAGTGTTGCCTCTAAATCAACACGACCCGTTCCTAAACAGCAGTTCTTCAACACCGATTACTCGTAAGTGGATCTCTTATTGTTTTTCATTTCCTTACAAGGCATTGCTTATACATAGATTTCAATAATGTTCTGGTAGGTGCCGCATCGTGAAGTAATTCGGTTCTAAAAACATTAGTAGGAAACGAAATACTATTCTTTTTTACAGTCATTAGACAAAGTAAACTTGTGGGGCTCAAGCTGTGTAATCTCCTCTAGTTAGAGTTTCCTTCATCGCTGTCGTGTAATTGCCGGTCTCGTTTTCTTGGCCTCGCAAACCCACAATTTATTTATTTATTTCGACTTTCACTTGGAACGGAGAATCATAATAAAGGAACGTTGTTGATCGATACAAGTTAGTTGAGTGTGAAGTGGCGCTTTGCTCCTGTTCACTTTAACCATCAATCAGTTATAAGATTCATTCAGTTCAAAAATGATAAATCTCAATTTTTCGCGCATATGTGTGCAGTTTTGTAATGTTACATGTTTCTTTACTCTTCCATAATGAAATTATCCAGACCGCTGCTGATGGATGATACTGGCTGGGTAATAGATGAAGCGACAGGTATCGCTCCACATCTTCTTCCACCTCCTCTTCTCACTGATCAAGATCTTGTTCCACTAGCTGATGAATGGCAAGATACAGTTCCTGGGAGGGATCTGCTCCGAAAGGTTCTCAACACAACTAGAAGTGCCTCTTTTCCGCTTTGAATATTTGAATCTGCAGAATCAAAGTGGAGGATCAGAGCCGCTTCTGACTGCATGGCTTTCTCGCTTGGTTGTGCCGCCTTTATCGGTCAGTGAGAGGAATATGTGGTACGAGGTGAGTACGTCCAAATTGAGTTCGTCTATAAGATGGGTATACCCTGTAATTAATACTGTTTCTAAGTATCTCAAGGAAAAGTGCATTTGTTACAAGCTTCGTATTTGAAAGTATTTTTATTGATGTTTTTTAGAAAGCCAAAAAAGTGACTGCTAGTGAAACCTAGCAGTAGATATCAATACTTTATAAAAGTGAAGTGCTTCGGTTGAAATAGTTTCTTCCAAGGAAAAGAACAAGAAATATAGATTCTCGCTATTCATTGCATACTCTAATATCATGTTCGTATCAAATTATAAGCTTTTTTTCATTGAATTTCTTTGTAAGGAGATGAGTACTATTGCTGATCTGGAAAGTGAAGAATTCGAGATGGAGTTGGTGAAAGAACCTGCACCGGAGCTCGAACCGATAGACGCCATAATCCCATTGACGAGCGGTCAGAGTGAGTACTTATAAGTTTTTCCCAATGAGTCCTTTCTTTATAAACTCGCAATCTGATGAAGGCAGTGCTAAAATGTGCTGTAAATGCTCAGATTTACCCTGTTCTCGTTCATGTTGCGGCTTCTCCATAAGACTGAAAGGTTCTAATGAATGGTGCTATTATGTAGGACGTTACTGTACAACTGGTTACTCTCATGTGTACTGTTCTGATTCAGGGAAAGCAGCAGCAAGGTATCGTGGAACTGCACCGATTCCTGCACAAATGGCAGGTCGAGGAGGAAGTGCCAATCGCAGAAGGCGCCCTCCAACTCTAGAAGAAGCTATAGCTGCTCAAGATGCTAGAAGAGCAGCTGCTGAAATGGAAAATTATCAAAGTGATATGGATGATAGCTATAGGTATATTATTTCTATTGTGCGTACTGATCCTTATCTAGCATTCACCTTTATTTCAAGCAACTCGGAAAGCTCTTCCAATGACGGAAGTTCAGACTCAGATACAAGCGACACGGATTATGCAGTCCGGGGAAGAAATCGCAATCAGGATCGGGACGAAGAAAAGGTTTGCTTTTTTTCCATTCTCCCTGAAAGGCGAGTTTATCCGATGTGATTTGAAGGAGGAGGAAGACGAGGAAGAAGAGGAAGTGTCGCCTCCCGAAGTCACTACGTCTTCCGGTCGTCGTGTACAAAGACCTCAACGAAAAGATGGTGCAAAGGGTGAAAACGCACGAACCAGAGAGCCTCGAAGACGCGTTCAGAATCACTGTAAGCATTTCAGGTGTCCTAAATTTACTTTTAGCTCGCTCATTTGTCGTTTATTTTGAGTGTTTCCTAGTCGAGCTTCTAAAATTCAGGAAACAGAAGACTCCTCCGCTACAGAGGTGCTCTCTCCCGAGTTAGAAGAAGATGAAACGGATGCCACTGACCTTCCATCAGCGTCTGGTGTTGCACTCCCAGTGAAAAAGACAAACCGTCAGCGACAAAAGAAAGGTAACTTCAAATCTGTTAATCTTACTCTTGTACCCATTCCTGCTCACAATTGTATAATACTTCAGAAAGACTCGGTGTTTATGCAAACTGTCGGTGATACTTTACCACACGTTCTCACCTAGGCCATTTTCTGTTAGCATTTGCGCGCTGGAATATACTCTTATTTATTGCGCAATTTCGGCAGGCCGTCGTTTTTTTTTAAATGTTTGCATATGTGTAACCCAGGAGCCCCATTGGAGCAGCCAGGACTCCTTCTGAAATACCCATAGTGACTTGTTAATTTGTTCGCTTAGATGGATAGAAAAGAGCTAAGACAATCTCTGAGCTCTCAGAATTTGAGTCGCTAAGTAAAAATATATGTAGAATGTTTCAAAGATAAGAGCTATGCACTTCTATGAATTTGAGTAGAGTAATCGAGCAAGTGGTAACTCACATTGGATGGCTGAGTCAAAATAAGCATTTTATTTTTTTGGCCCTTATAGCCGAGCGTTGTAGACGGAATCTCGAATTTTAGCACCGCATAGCTTTCTGGTTTCATTACAATGTGAAGGGTAGATGAATTTTGCTGCGCTTTCTCT